CCCTCTTATGATAAGATAACATGAATGATAAATCTTATTTCAATTGAAAACAAAAATAAATAGACCATATAGTATACTATATTCCTTGTATTATATTATAAAATAAATATATGATGTACTTTCTTGAAGTAATAAGATGAACTGAACGATGATTGAATTGCCGAGGAAGTAACTTGGCTTTTGAGAGAAATAAGACTTCGGCAATCTTCTGCTTATTTGCTAAAAGTACCTTTTTTTTTATTTGCTGGTACCTCAAACGTCGTACATCTACAATGGCTTAATAATACAGTGCGGTCATACCGATGTGGCGGCCATATTGAGTCGGCGTGAAACCAATATTTGAACAGTCTTTCTTTGTTATTTCAATTTAAAAATTAATTAATTCAACAAACTAAGAATTAGAATGGTTTGGAAGATAGAATTGAAGATGGGCAACTTGAATGAAGCCTATGAATCACTTATATCACTTGAAAATAAATAACAAAATCAAAGAACAATATTTTGTTTTTTTTCTATTCAACTTCTTTAAAAATATCTTTCAATAAACTTCGGTATATTGCGATTCCCGTTTTATTTCATCTGATTTTTCTCGTTGGTAAATTTCACAAACAAATTTATATAATTATTAAAACATTAAACAAAAACTGAGTGAAAATTAGCTTTCATAGGAAAACCAGAAACTCAATTCTAAGTCAGCAGTCATGAAGCTATTTTTATTTTTCTTCTTAATATTCTACTTTGGAAAAACTAAGCTTTAAATAAATACAAATTATTTAATATAAATTTAATGAATATAAATTATTTGATGTAAATTTTATAAATACAAATTATTTAATAAACATAATTTATTTATTTTTACTTTGTTACTTGTGATTCAACACCACAACTAGTGTTGTCCAAATGCGAGACCAAGACGAACCTAATTTTTCAGATATGGGAAACCTATCTAAGCCCGAATGAAAAATTGGAAGAGTTAAATTCCAAAGGATATTGGTTATACCAATTCTTTACATATAGTAACTAAAATTGTCAAGTTTTAGTGACTATTATGTCTTAATTTTTATTCAAAAAATTTTTATTTTTTTTTACCAGTCTTGGTCTTGGTCTTGAAAGTTAGGCGTCCTTAGTCTTAGTCTTGTGCAAAGCGTATTTTTAGTTATTTCATTATTTTTACAATTTAATATATTTGGCATAATTTAAGGGATATCCTGTATATATATACATATATAACATTACGAGTTTTGATCTACACATCTTCCAGAACATAAGTAAATATATATTTTTTTTCACTATTTTTTCATCATTAAAATGGTTTACTTATAAAATTAATTTAACGTTCCTTTTCAACTTAGTTTAGTTATTTTTATTTCATTGTTTTTAGCAGATATCTTTCAGTATTGTAACCCTATTGATCTTATGCTTTCTTTCATATTTTATATCCTCTTAGCTATGTTTATACTTGCCATATTGCTTATGTCTTAGTTATTCTTTATTGAACTAGGTCTATTGGCTAGATCAAATGTTAATCGGTATGAACAATATTGTCATTCTTAAGGTACTTTGTCTATATATGCATAACCTCACAATCACGTATAAATAACAAATGTGAATATAGGTCCTTTTTCCTTTTCAGTCGACAAAAAGGAATTTATGTTTTACCTATTTTAAACTTTTTTATTAGAAATATTTCTGTTATCTCTGGGCATTTTTTACTACTCTAAGCCGAGGTATAGCCGTATTCATAAAAGTTTGCAAAAAATGTTAGTAATAAATTTATAAAACTAAGGAATTTGAAACATACAATTGTTTGAGCGGAAACAAACTGTTAAAAATATAAATAAAATAGTGTAATTAACACTTTTATCTTTGAAAATTGAAAACATTTAAGTTAAAAAGTTTTGCAAATTTTTAAATAAACTATTTTGCAAATAAAAATACTTCAAATATAGCGCTGTGCTGACAGCACTGACCTACAAACATAGCGACCCCATTTATCTCTCAACTCTTGGCCAATGCGCCATAGGGGGTGCAGATAAGTAAATATATTTCGTACTCACAGCCTTCTTAGCCTTATTTTCTCTAACTCAAGGATTATAGTGGAATAGATTGGATCCAGATCTAGTGAAATAATCTTTTAGCCTATAACTGAGTGCTACATCGAGACCTCCACTAAGTCTCGCGGGGCACAGCTTGTATAGAAAGAAAAAAATTGATTCAATACTATAGAATGACAGAGTAGATTCGAAATGAGCTTTCTTAGAAAAATAAAATATGATATCAATGTTGTAGTAACCTCGTGTTTGAGTGATGCACTAAATTTTATATTTTTTTAGAATTTTTCTATGTAATAAAAAAAAGTTTCGCGGGCTAGATTTGAGTTGCTCGCGGAACGGTTCGAGCCCATGAGACATAGTTTGCAGTACGGGCGGATCTGCGGGGGGGCTTTCGGGCTGAAGCCCCCCCCCCAAAATGATAAAATATAACCATGATTTTTCGAAAAAAATATTTAAAAAGTATCTCTTAAAGTATTATTGTTCGTGTAATTACATTTAAAAGGGTTTTAGGAATCACTTAAACACCATTTCATATAGGTAGTTAGGTTCTCTCTTTTTTTGCAAAGTAATTATCGTTATTTTTATAAAAAAAAAACTTTCGGGCTGAAGCCCCCCCCAAAATTAAATCCTGAATCCGCTAGTGGTTTGCAGACCCAATGTTATTAAAAATAACATAGAAATATGGGGGGCGGGATGGCCGAGCGGGCTAACGTGATTGAACAGCACCATCCTTGCCCCGCAACCTAATATATGAGATAATTGATTAACAATAATTACGAGTTCGCGTCCCAGTGTCCAAAGAGGGATTTTAATTCTGTCCCCCCTGCTCTCACCCCCCGGCCCGGGAAAACCCTGTATAGCCTAAAAGGCGAGAAGGAGGATGACGAAAAAACAGAAATGTAATTGGAGATGTTTAGTATAGATTAATTCATAAAAAAATAAGATGATTTGGTATTGAAAAAAACAAACAAAAACACGAACCTTTATTTACTATCACTTCATTTATTTCAGTTAAAATATTAGTGTTAAAATAAAAATATTATAAGCAAAATGATCCAACAACAAGTCAACTAACAGAAAAAGATCAGCGTATAGCTAGCACAGAGTTTCTCTCTCTCCCTCACTCACACTGTGACTCTCTCACTCACACTCACACTCTCACTCTCTCTCTCCCTCTCATCCCCTCTCTCTCTCTCTCCTTCAAAATCTTAACATATGGAAAAGAAGGAACAATAAAAAACTTCTTACAAAATGTGTTCAATCAATATTTATGATATGAATTTAAGGAGATTAAGATAGACGAGGCATTTATCAAAGCTCGAAACAATCTATCAAGACGTTTCCGAAACAAAGAATGCCGCAAACTGAAAAGAGAACCCCAAGCTAGGCAGACATGGATAAAGCTTCATGTGGCCGAGGATCTTAAACGTCAGTAGAGCAAAAAAAAAGAAACAAAATTGTAAGAGAAATAAATATGACCCGATAATATCAAATTTAACTGGAACAGTAGCTGAAATAATAGTTTTGAAACTTTCTGAAATTTTCAATTTGAAATAACAGTTATTGATGATAATTGAGGCTGTTAGAATGATAATTGAGAATTCAGTTTTGAAATTTGTTCAGAATGTGAATGTACTTTAAAGATATGTGTATGTTATACATAGGTAATTAAAGTAAGGATTATTAACATATATGTGTAATATACCTAGGTATATCATTAAAGTATTTTTATAAGACATTCCCTTTCTTTAAAAACCAACAACTTACTCTAGAACCATTTAAAATAATAGTTAACAACCATTCAACTTTCCAATAGTTAAATTCTTAGAAATTTTAGTTATTAAATCAGGGAGCACTAGCAGGTGCAAAATTTAATTTTTTTGGCGGGGTGGGGCATCAGCCCGAAATCTTTTTTTTTTATAAAAATAGCGATAATTACTTTGGAAAAAAATAAAGAAACTAACTACTTATATGAAATGGTGTTTAAGTGATTCCTAAAGTCCTTTTTAATGTAATTACACGAACAATAATACTTTAAGAGCTATTTTTTTCCATAAAACATGGTTATATTTTACCATTATGGGAGGAGGGTTAAACCCCAAAACTCCCTCCCCCCCTCGTAGATCCGCCCGTGTCAGGGAGTGCTTGCTACCATTGAGTAGTATCTGAACAAATCTCTTCATGCCATTACTTTTGATTTTTCACGTTTACCAGAAATGTTCAAATGCTACTTTGAGTACTGAGCACCAAGTATTTTACTCAAATACTCACCTTTTTTGAGTACCAAAGAATTACTGCTTCAGTTGATAACAAACGATTAACTGAAGTAGTGATTGAATTCCCAATAGTGATTCAATTTGTGTAAAATACTTGGTACTCTGTACTCAGAGTAGCATTTGCCCATCTCTGATGTTTACAAGTTGTATTTACTTAATTAAATAGTAAATTTCAATAAAAAAAATAAATCAATAAAATAATAAAGACATATTTTATTTATGTCAAGTAAATCTTAAAAAGATGAATAATAGTGATTTTTTTTTTCTTTACAAATATTTACTCAATCGATTTGTATGCAAACGTAGTTGTACCAAACTTCCATCTGTAAGTAATGTTTAATATAAAAAGCTTAAGCAGTAATGCTTTTTCTCTAAATTACGTAAGTAATTTTAAAAGATGCCCATTTATTAGGGAGAAAATAAGGATTGCACGTTTTCTTTTTTTATTACATTTACACACACTTGAAGATATCAACTGTATCATTGCGAAATTAGAATAACAAGCAGGAAAAACATATAAGATATTTTAAGGGGCTTAGGGCATATCTTAAATAAATAGTAGAAACACTGCTCTAGACCAACTACACGAAATGGAAACAGTGTAACAACTATCCCGCTCTCTTCCACAGAATATTTACATTGAGAGAGAAACAATAGACACTTCCAACTGTTAATATGCGGGGACAGCGGTAATGAGAGAGGAGGGATATTGTACGGTTGGAGGTAAACACACACCTGGGGGCTGTCTCCTTGCGTCACCCACTCTAGTAATACAACCATCGCTTTTGACAGTATGCTAATTGCGATTATGGTCTCTGAAAGAATGGAATAGACAATAGAAGAGAGTTTAAAAGTATTTGAAATAAATTTAAACAACATTCAAATATTTCAAGTCATTAAAATATTCAATATAAATCAGGGGCGGATCTACGGGGGAGGGGGGACTTTCGGACTAAAGCCTCCCCGCCAAAATGGTAAAATGTAACCATGTATTATGGAAAAAAATATTAAAGTATTATTGTTCATGTAATCACATTTAAACGGACTTTAGGAATCACTTAAAAACCATTTCATGTAGGCAGTTAGTTCATTTCTTTTTTACCAAAGTAATTATCGTCATATTTATGAAAAAAAAAAAAAAAAGCTTTCGGGCTCAAACCCACCCCCCAAAAATTAAATCCTGGATCCGCTAGTGATATAAACAAACAATTAAGTTTTTAAACTAAAAATACGTCAAATTCATTTGCCAAATGTTGGTTATAAATAAAAAAGAAATAGAAAAAGGGACTAAACTGATGAGAAAGAAGTAAATAAGGTCATATAATTAACCAATTAAATACTCTCTGAACATAAAATATATTTACGAAGACGGAGACGGTCAGTGGTGACAATCATAAAAAGACAAAAATAGTGAAAACTATATTATTTCAAGCCACAGGCGGATCTATAGGGCGGGGGCTAGCTTTCGGGCTGAAGCCCCTCTCCCTCCCACAGAATAGTAAAATATAATCATGTTTTACAGAAAAAAATATTTAAAACTATCTCTTAAATTATTCTTGTTGGTTTAATTACATTTAATAGGACTTCAAGAACCACTTAAACACCATTTCATACAGGTAATTAATTTCTTTCTCTTTTTTTCAAATTAATTATCATTATATGTGTATGAAAAAAAAATCTTTCGGGCTGAAGCACCCCCAAAATTAAATACTGGATCCGCTAGTGTTTCAAGCCAACGTTTGAACTCATCTTAGCAGGTCTTCTTCAGGGGTGTATATGCAGCATCGAGTTTCGGTTAAAACTGAATCATTTCCTGTACACTTCACTTTCAACCGAAACTCCATGCTGCATTCACACCACAGAAGAAGAACGACAAAGTTGGGTTGAAATATTGGCTTGCAATAAAATATTTTTTTCACTATTTTAGTCTTTTTATGAACGCCAACCAGGACCATCTCCTTACTCAAACCTATACAACGGTCAGCTATCAAGTATTCAAGATACATTTAGTCATAACGGAAAATTTATAAGAATTTTAGATACATAAGGTTCCCTTAAATGTAACGAATAAAGGATATAAGAAATATGGATACAGTTAATATAGAGAAAAATATTTAAAAAAAAAAAAAAATTTACATGATAGATGACAATAAGATTGTTCAGTTATGACAGCATCGGACTAGAGAGGTGCAAAACTGTCAATAACTCCGGGCGTTAGAAGTTAGAGGTCGGCAAAAAAGAAGAAGAAAAGTAAATTTCGTTTTGGGACTTTCAATTCCCTATGAATAATGATACTGAACAATTAAATTGTCATTGAGTTATGTAACCTTAAAATTAAAATATAGGAAAATAAAATGAAATTACAGATACATAAATATGAGTATGTTCACATATTTGACTAATAAGCAATTTAGATAATATATTGATGACTACGAAATAACAGTAAAATGAGGCCAAAACACTAAAATAGGTAAAATTTAATTCTTACATATATTCGGAAGATTGCTGAGGATGTGTAAACATAATTGGTATTTAAATGAAGTAAAAGATGAGGTTTTGCCTATAGAACCCTCTTGCAACATTCAATATTCAAATTTAAATAAAAATGTACGAAAAAATTTCAAAAGGTAGAGTAGGGTGTCATTATCCTACAATCATTATCTTGTAATGACAGCAACAAAGGTATGTGAATTATCCAAGGAGGTAGACCGAATCTCCAACTGAATACTTTGACGTTAGTGACTGTTTTTTTCAGCTTGGGGCTAATACTACTCTCGAAAATAAAATTATTAACTGTTCCTTCTGTTTTAAGGTTTGTATCCCTGACGTTTTGTTTTTTTGCTTGGCAATGGCAGCAAAGTGACCTGATTTATGACAAATGTGTTATAAACATAGTCACGAGTTCGCGTCCCGGTGCCAAGGAGTCTTTTAAATCCCCGCCCACACCTCCTGGCCCGGGAAAACCTCGTATACCTTAACGGCGAGGAAGGGGAGGACCCAAAAAAAAAAAAAAAAAAAAAAAAAAAAAAAAAAAAAAAAAAAAAAGGCAGCAAAGTGATGGGACAAAGTTTGGAAAGTATAAATATATAATCATTAAGAAGTATTGGTGGGGTCAAGATCAGAAATACATAAACTGACATTGCCATCAATTTATTACCTACTATAATTATTACAAGTATGGTTTATTGAGCTCTTTTTTGAATTATTATTAAATAAATGACTGTGAAATATTAAAAAAAAAAACATTGAAACTATGACTGTCTTTATAAAATATTGGAGGAAGCAGAAAATGCCTTGAACCCAACGTTTGCGCCCATGAAAATAATTCATTGTTAACAAAAATTAAAAATGATATGATTCAGAATACAAAGTGATGCTTTATCAGGAATAAATTTGATTACCATTTAACGAAGGTTACGAAAGAAAAAAGAATAAATGCTTAATTAATTCAAATAAATATTGACTTAGTAGAGTGGGATACTGCGTGGTAATCGCATTTCAGTAGCTACAACAATCATAAAACCAAATTATTGTTTTATATTTTAATTTTAATATAAAATTATGAAGAAATATATCTTCACCGTATATAAATGGGCGAAAAATCACGTTAAACTTAACTAATCAAGTAAAAGAAGAAATTTAGACATGGATCTGCCTGTTGAAACTGTAAAGATGAAAAAAAGTCAGGACATATTTTATTATATTACAGGACTGTCAATAATGATGTTTATAAACTAATGTCAATAATCTATATACAATCAATAATTAAAGACTGCATCACCTTACTATCTTTCATTATTAAAAAACAAAACAAATAGACTAAACTTCCTATGAGAATGACAATGGCCATTCTCTATGCTCTATGCTACATAACACAGCAGTAGCAGATTCAAGATTTAATTTTAGGAGCTAACCATAATAATGCTTGTAGGAATAATGTTTTGTATTGTTTTTGAAAAATACATTTAGTAATTGAAGTACAAGTGCAGTAATTTAATACGTTGTGATTCTTCATAGGAATAAATATGAACCAATGAAACGAAAAAAAATATTGCTTTTATTTATTTATTTATTCTTTTGAGTGGGAGAGAGAGGCATCAGTACGAGACTCTCCACCTCTTGATTCCGCCAGTGAAACATATTATTTATTAATAATTTTATTACATTTAGTGTAACAAAACAAAATACATAATTAATAAACGTTGGAAGTTTTATAATATATCAACGTTACAATGTAGTATGAACATGAAATAGAAATTAAAACATTAGAAAATATGTATTTAAAATCGAGAGTCTAGTATAAAATACGGGTTATATTATCGCAAATAAAAAACGACTTGGCGTCTATGTTTTCAAATAAAACTGTTTACGTCTAAGCAACTATCGGTATCGGCATAACTTATTACAAACATTTCTCACTTAAAGGCTGAATGTTCGATTAAAATACCTGATTTAAAAAAAAAGTAGGTAGATAAATATTCTCAGATACCACCAAAGCAAAAATATCAGAAGGCTATGTTTCATAACAATACAGAACTCACTTATTTACCAACTTCAATCTATAAACTTATGTGCTATTGTCATCCGTTATAATGTATAATAAAACTATGGACTCTTAAGAAAAACAATTTAATACTAATTCCCTAGTTATGTTTTTACATTTATTTTTAATGTCGATATCATTATTAGGTTGGACTCATAAAATATCAGAGAAAAGTAAAATTGCAGTTTCTTGTTATAGATGAGTCCATGTTCAATATATATATTCTTATACCAGCATCTCATTAATTGAAAGAAAGAAAGTTTAGGTGGACAGAAGAAGAAGTAAAACGGTAATTGGTAATAAAGCATCTAAGAAACCGTAGACTATAAGGTACAAGCGGTAAAAAAAAATTAAAATAAAACACGAATATTTAATTCGTATATATATTCGGAAGATTGTTGAGGAAATGGAAACATAATTGGTATTTAAATGAAGCAAAATGAGGTTTTGCCTATATAATTGGATAAGGAATTCCAAATAAGGCAGAAGGCATTATTAAGAAGTTTTAAAAGGAAGCAGTTTTAAGAAAAGGGTCTAAGCAGGGTTTAAGAAAAGTAAATACAGGTTTGTGAACTGGGATTTAGTGTTTAGAAAATGAATAAAGGAACAAGAAGTAAAATGAAAGAGGAAACCAACCATAAAAAAAATTCAAAATCAATGTTTTACATTTGAGGCTTAACATATTGCTTGAAGTAGTAGAAAATAAACCAAAAATGTGCTTCTTTCGGTTTTTGTTTAGTATGAATTCTAAGGATTTGAAGCTTCTGCTCTTTTCATTCAAATAATTATTTTCATTGATTGCGTTTGGGTGATGAGGAGCGAAACACTACAAAGATTAAAAGTAAATTTCTAAAGAAAGGCAGAAATGTGGATCGGAGGATTGCGTTGATTTTGATTTTGAAGATTTATAAAACATAACTTTTAACCGAGTTTAGAGGGAAAAGGCACGCAGGTCAAAATTGTATAAGGTACGGGATGGACGTTCAGGTTCGTTAAACTCCACCAATATGGTTAATGTTCTGTTTTGTATTCTCCATCAGGGGTGCCCAGAAGGGGGTTTGCGCCATCAAAACTTTTGAGGAAGGCATATTTTGTATTTTTGAGGGGTGCAAATTTCGACGGAGTTGTGAATTATCGGACTAATGGACAAGGAGGAAATATATAACAGACCACAGCAAGTATAATTGTATATGACCTACGATTTTTTAAATTCTATTTTTTTTTTTTTTTTTTTTCCTACCTCCCAGGAATTTCTTGAATAAATTCAGTATGTATATAAATATATATATACATAAATTTTCAACTTTCCTTTTATTGCCCAAGGGCATTTTAAGTTAAGAGGGCTTTGCACGCTGTATGCGTTCTTTGCATCTGTGGCCAGAGGCCTTTTATTATACCACTGGGCGTGGAGGGACCGCCCTGCATTAATTTAAATTCAATCTTAGCTTAATTTATTTTTAAGAAAAGATGAGCAATAAAATATGTTGGGAAGAGAGGATAGGTATATGGGAGGAGATTCTTGCGCCATCGACCTTGGGAGGGATGAGCATCCCTGTTCTCCATTAGTATCAAATAACTACTGCTTGTTATCAACGGAAGGCAGAAATAGATATTTTCAAATAAAACCTATTAAAAAATATTAAATATGTAAGGAAGAAACATTTTCTTAAATCTTCGAATTAAATTTTAATAAAGGTTCTATAAAGTTGATTATAAATAATTAAACTTTCGTTAGAACCTGACCAAAAGTTTATTCTATTTTGTTTTCAATAACAAAACAAAATTCAATATTTCTTATATATATTTTAACATTGTAAAAAAAAACCAACAAAAAAAAAAAAAAAAAGAACCTTTCCAATCCTTATTCCCTACAATCATTATTTATCATAATTTATTTTGAAAAACTTAATTGTTGAGACTTAAATTAAAAATTACAAATAGTGTATTTCAAAGTTTTTTTTAATTGGAATACTTAATACTTTCCAATTCCAATTCCAATACTTTACAGTTCAAAGAAACTAATCAAATGTTCATACAATTTTTAACTAGTGTTTTCAGAAGCAGTTATTTATAATATATTGGCAGCAATAGCTAAAATCGTCAAAACCACAATTTGAAAGGAACGCTTGGTCAAAATAAATTAAAATATTTTATAATGAATCGTTTAGAAGCAAGTGTAAATTGAACATTCGTATATATACAGCTAAAGATTAAAGGCAAAAGATCAATCACAACAAATAAAATATTAGTTAGTACATGAAAACTATACATCCTTACAACAATACAACAAGGGAATAAACAATTGTTTACTTGATATGGAAACAAACATCGTGTATTTTATCAGTAGCTACGTTGACAATCCATTACTGATACGCCAGAGATAATTTAATGAAACTAATGGTTTAATTACTGAAATTAAAGACCGTAAAATTGTCACCGTTTGAAAACGAGAATGATAACCGATATTGGTTTCTTATAAAACTTCACTACACAAAAACACTCCACATATTTGATAAGACAGCACTTTATGTCCGAGATAACGTACAATATATGATTTTTCGAGCGAAAAATATTTCTCGATTCTCTAAATATGGGTTTAAAGTTGTATTGTCTTTTGTCTCATATTTGCATATCAATGGTCACTGCATAATAACTTCAGGAAATGAAATAATAATGAAGGATGCATTGGAGCGGTTCAAAAACTTTTTAAAATTATTATTTATGTTCAAGGTGTGTGTAAAAGGTGAAATTAATTTTTTTTTAGGTATACAAATGGGTTTTTAATTACTAAAAAATCACCAAGCTTTAATTAAACCCAAGTTCCGTTAGCATTCTCTTATATAATGAATCAAAGTATACAAAATATATACAGGTGATGTATTAACATTGTCTTGACAGATAGACATACCAGTCTTTGTTATCCTTTTCGACGTCCTCATCTTGAGGTGTTTCCTTCCGTAGAGACTGCAATAATTTCTTCAACAACCTCCTCATGACTGGCTCATTTGAAGACTGCTTCGCTGATAGCACATTAATATTACTGAGCATGCGCCGTCACTCTTGCATCCTGATAATGTGTTATCTTCGAATACCTTATCCGTTAGAGAGATTTTGTGACGCAATCAAGTATTAACAATTTTTATTTTAATGAAGTACGAAAACTGAAATATTTTCGATTAATGGACGTCTTGAAATTGTATAAGATAGATTTTATTTTATAACAATAAATTTAATATATAAATGGAATGATTGATTCTCTCATTATATATCATTTTTTATCAAGGCACCAAAAAAAAAAAAATATATATATACTGAGTAAAACAATAAATAATTTACTGAGGAGAAAATTTGGTGTTACAAAGTAAATTCTTTTCCAAATAAAATATAATTAGAAGGTCCGTTTATTTTTATTAAAGTTTATTGAAATTAAAATAAAAACCTGCACTTTTATAAATACTCTAAAATATTTCAAGAATACAAGATCATTCCAAAGTTTAAAAACGGATCTTTAAAATTATTTGAGCCATTGAACTTAAAGATCGGTCCAGCAGTTTACTCAAAAATTGGTTACCTACCTTCTAGTGAATTGCTTAAAATGTAGTTTATACAACAGTTTGTTAGTGTTTTGGGCTCAAGTTGTTTTAAAAACTCAAGAAAACTTACTGAATAATTTGAGTCATCGAAATTATAAATGAGTCCAGTCGTAGTTCAAAAAATCTTTACATATATTTTGGCGAACAACTCAAACACGTAAACTGTGTGGTTTCATCATAGTAGTGTGTTGATCAATTTTAATATTTGAACAAATTATTTTTCATAAAAACATTGTACGGCTTTGATGTTTTGTGAAAAACCTCGACTTTAAGTCACTAATTTCGGAGAGAAAATACAGAAAAGATTTGTATATTGTTATTTAAAAGTGGAAGGATATGGCACAGTTTTTCTTTTATTTTTGTTACATAGGTTTACTTACAGTTTTTTACTTTAACTTTATTTCTTTAGCCACACCTGTAAGAAGTACTGACTGACAATTAGCGAGTCTGCTGTCCACATAAATGCTGATAGTTGCTTGACTGGCGTGGGGGAAAGGAGTCCCCTAGGCATCCCTTCTTGGCTTGATTTTAATATATTTTTAAGTAAGAAAATACCTCATCCAGCTTCTTTTGAGTCCCGGAAGCTTGTTTTGGGCATATTAATCGTGGCCATATCTTGTGTCAGTGTGTTAGTATGTCCATGTAAGTTATTGTGAAATTTTTTGTAGTGCGTCCGCATATGGTCGTTACCTGTTGTCATGTTTAGAGTACAGTAATGTTTGTGACGTAACACGGTTTTGTATTGTAAGTTTTGTATTAAAAGGTTTGTAGTTTTCGTATGTGGATAGTTATGGCTTTTCCGTATATTTGTGAAGCGTGGGTCCATGTAGTATTTAGAAGATAATAAGTGTTCAGTTTCTATTTTAATTTTAATTTTGAGCATCTTGAAAGAAATTAATATAATAGTCGTGATCGTAACGTAGACATGTGGGCCCAGTGTCATTCTTTTGTCGAATGTCATGTCAGTCCAAGATATTGTATTTTATTTGTTTGTGGAATTTCGGCATTGTCAAGGAAAATAGAAGGGCATATTTAACAAATAATTTACGGTCATTGTTAATTTATTAAACAATAGATCGATCACTAATAATTAATTGATTAAAATTATATTTTTACAATGAATATTCAGTGAGTAGTAACGAAATGTAATTATTATAAAATATAGAGAATCGTTGCAATCTTTTAAAAATTTAATTTGAAAAAATAATGTGATATTTTAAAAGGTGAGATTTCGAATTAGAGGACATTATATCTTTTTGCTCTTACGAGGGTTGTTGTTCAGGATGAAAAATAAAAACTATCACTATTATTTCTTTATCAGATTAACAACCACAATCCTTCTCGGAAGCCAATAATTTTTTGTTTAAAAGCCTTTTCATCAAGTTCCAATCGGGGTAATTGGGTCAAAAACCAAATAATAATAAAAAAAAGTAAAAAAATAAATAAATATACACTTAACTTAATTATGAGTAGCGTGAAATGGAGGCGATCTCCAATTCACATTCTGATGTTCGTAGATTTTTTTTTAAAACACTATTTTTGTATTACACTTGATACATATTTAACTTGACTAATTGTAATAATTTTTTTCAATTCCAATTCCTTAGTATAAGTGCTGCCAACATTTTTTCAAAAGCACTTTACAAGACCAAGACTGCCCAAACTGTTGGAAGACCAAGACTAAGACTAGTAAAAAAAAATCGATTTTTTGAATAAAAATTAAGGCAGAATAGTTACAAATACTTGACAATATTAGTTACTATATGTAGCAAGTAGCTCAACGCAATAAGTCTGTTGGCCAGCGCCTCAGCAGTCTTCTGGGCGGATTATATGGATTTGTGGAAGTAGATAGAGCTTGAGTAAGTGGATTGGAATTTAGAGTCAGTCTGTCATGAAAATTATTAAAGCGTTACTATATGTAAAAAAATAGTGTAACCAATATACTTTTGCATTTAATTCTTCTAATTTTTATTCGGGCTTAGTTAGGTTTTTTCTAATATCTCTATAGTAATAAGCTATTAGCTAACTGCAAGACTTAGCGAGACTCTTGTGCAAGACCAAGACTTATTGCGCATTGGGGCAACCCTGCTTAGGATGAATAATTTACATTATTATATTTATTTCGATAGGGTTTCTTTTTTTTTTGTAATTTAATTATTGTTAAATATACTACATAAAATGATTTTCGTTGCCTTCCAATTGTATGAATAAAATACCTTTGATGTTTTATCAGCAAATATGTATGCCCTAGACATGTGGATTGTAACTTATAAATAAACCGAGTATATTAAATTTATCAGTCCTCAGTATTTTTATATGGTATAAGATGATTTATATGGATCTTAGAGATTATTACATGGATTTTAGATGTATATGAATCGGCTTATAAATGAAAAAAAAAATTATACGGTAAACGGGTAAGTTTATAACGCTCTGATCCGCGAGTTTATGGTGCCTGCAAAATTTTATGCTACGAGTTCAAATACCGTTCACGGAAAAAAAAAGTTTAAAAATAATTAGTAGTAAATTAAAATAAATAAGTGCAGTCCCTACTCGATTGCACTAAGGCGCGGGTTCGATTCCCGCGACTCCAGTGTTTTACAACATAGCTCCTGGTCCTCCAGATTGGGGGTTGGGGGCACTAGGTTTATGGGGATTAAACCTATCGTGTAAAAACAACAGGATGAAGATGTCTGCAAAATGTTGCCAACCATCTTGATGAAGAGGGTGTGATTAGTGATCGCGTCTATTTATTATAAACCACGTGCTCCCTGGATGTAATATTATGGATATAAGAGAAACAGACACAGCTGTCGTGTAGAATAACCCCGTAGCTGCTAGAAGACTAATGGCGGAAGTCAAATAAGTCAAGAAAAAAAAATTATTAACCAAATAAATACTGAATATTAAATTAAATTTGCAATCTGAATATTTCTTTGCAATGAGCAATTTTTTTGGCAGCTTCACAGCTTCCCATCACATCCGGCATATAAGTCAGATCAGCAGGTCTCTTGGCAAACGCCCACGTAATCGTCGTGGTGGGCTGTAGGGTGTACGTTGAAGGATTTCTGTCGGAGGATTTATCTTTTAGGGCAGTCTTTGTTGAACGTTATTGTAGTTTTCGTTTGCTGTGTCTAAAATTGTTGGTACGTTCAAGTCTTTATGTAGTATATCATTTGCGACTTTAAACGGTCAACTATCCTTCGTAACACTTTTGACTGGAAGGACTGAATTTTTTTGACATTGGATGGTTTAGCATAACCCCACAGTTCTATGCCGTAAGTCCAAATTGGTTTAGGTAAAACTAAAGTTTATTATAAATTAAGTTATAAATGAAGGGTTAGTTTGTCAGTTAAAGATAATTTTGAACGTCTGTCAAGTAGTTTGTTACTAGTTTATTAAACCTAAATATCTAATTACATCTGAGGTTGGGAATTCAAATGTTATTAAAATATATTTTTTTACATAAATAAATATATATTTTTGTTTTAATAAGAAAAAAGTTTCTAACGTTCAAAATTATATAGACATTGATTAGATATAGATAAATATTGTGCCGTAAAATACATTCAAATAACTTAAGATCCTTTTAAAGTAGGAAACCTTGAATAGAAACCAAAAAAGGGAACTAGAATTTTAAAGAAATTTCAGTGTGATTTTTATAAATAAAACTAACTTTTACAATACCTTATTAAATGTAATTGACTAACTTGTAATGAAATAAATTTTAAAAAATTATTCTGAGCTGATTAATACTGATTGTTATTAATTAATTTTTGGTTGTATATTGTTTGCTATAATTTACAAAAAATAATAACTATACCAACATTCAAATGACGTGATTTTTAAAACGAAGCGTTCATTTAGATAAATTTTATTTTTAAACATACTTTAGTGTTAAAACACAATTCAGACACTAAATAGCAGATAAGATTATTGGCATTCTTAAAGGCCGTAGCATGTTTGGTGTTGGTGATAGTGTTGTTTACCCTGGGCGATAATCTGTGAGGCTAGGTCAAGGTTTTCCCTGCATCGCTTTTTTAGAACGGGATATACAAGACTTAGTAGGTGTATATACTCCTTTCCACAGATCTGCATCATTTAAACATTCCTTCGTTGTCCGTTCCACTGCATTCTGGAATTCCATCCCACTAAAAATGCATCATCCTTATCCACCTTTAAAACCCTCTTATTCCAATTCCTCTTCACAATCCAATCAGACGCTGGTTAAATACATACTATGTTATAAGGATTTAATTTTCTTTAGACATTATTTTTTTTCTCTTATTTTTTATTGTTTTATCTGTGTTGAACGTGAATTTTCATCACCACTCACTAAGCATTGTGAGTAGATAAAATTTGTTTTTCTTAAGTTCTAATTTGTTATTCATGGAATGTATTTCAGTGAAATATATTTTATTTCTAATTATCTTCAACATACTTCTCGCTATGTGTATATATATACTTTATT